GGCCCGCACGCACCTGCCACGACGCCGACTGGCTCTGCAATTTTGGTCATGCCGCCGGCCTCGTCCCTCTGGATGATGCCGCAGGTCTTGTCGTCCTTGTACCTGGGGTTGGGGGATCAGCAGGGCGGGGCAAGGGGCGGGGGGTGTTTCTGGTCTGCTGGCAGTGACAGGGGCAGCAAGGTCGGGCTGGGAGCATGTGTGCTTGCATGGGACGGTGCTTGCTGGCCGGCCGCCGAGGTCGCCCTCCGGGCGCCCGCTGCCACGCGCTGCTTGCTGCCCTTCACACCCCCTCTGCGACCAGCGAAGCTGCTGTGAAGCTGCAACAGAAAATAAGAGCTGGCGTGGGGGCCCGCACCTGTTATAGATATACTCAGATGCAAAGTGGTTCTGGGCAGGGGGGCATAGGAGGCAAGCACGCGGAGCTTGAGCTTAAGCTTGGGCGCAGGTGCAGGCCGCAACATATGCAGCTGTGCAGAGCATACTGGCTTGCTGGACCAGGAGCCTGGCCTACAACTGGTTCGCGGACGACCCCTCCCACCCAATCATCGTGTTTGTACGAGGCCGCCTGCTTCAAATTGTCAAAAACAGTGCTTCCCCCCTTCACACACAAAAACACACAAGCGCACGCGCAAGCCAGCACACATAACAACACACCCGCACACAAATTTACCCACACACACCCACAAACACACGAAATGCTGATGTGATGTGCGCGCCACGCTCCACCCTCCACGCTGCACGTGTGCACATGCAGCACGCAACGCCCCCTCCCACCCCCCCCAACCCTACGCACCTTTATGACCTTGTCCTCCACCACGCCCATGCGGGTCTCCTCCACCGCCATCTTGGCCAGGGGGATGCGCGCCCCGTTGGCCGCCATGGCGGCCGCCTTGAAGATGGCGTCGACTTGCTCCTGCAGGTCGCATGGTGGGGCAGGGATGCTTGGTGCACAGGGATTCTCGGCCAGGGCGGTGTGTGCGACCAAATGTTTCCAGGGTTGGGGGATTATGAGGGTAGAAACGGCACAGTATGCTGGTTCGAGCGGCCCAGGGTCGCTGTACATGCATTGGCAGTTGAGTCCACGCCAAGCGTGCCCAGTCCGGCCGAGCCGTGGAACAAGGGAGTGGCAGTCCGGGCTAAGGACGGCTGCGCCCATGCACGGGCACGAGAGCACGTCGATGACAACAGCCCCCTGGGCGCACCGCGTGCATGCTTTCATGCCCCTGCAGCGTCGCAGGGCCGGCGCTGCAGGGTCGCGCCCACCTGGGTGAAGGTGGAGTAGGCCGCCTGCGCCGCCTTGGAGCGGTCCAGCAGCCGCTGCAGGGACGCCAGCTCGTCGCCAGCCAGGGCGTCGCGCACCTTCTCCTTGGGCGGCGCCTCCGCGTGGGCCTTGGCCTGCGGGGAGAGGGGGGGGGGCAGGGGTGTGCGCGCAGCACGTGAAGGGGATGGCGACATTTGAGGGGCGTCGAGGGAAGCTTTGAGGTCATGAGGCACGCCGCTCAATTTGGGGCACGCAAAAAGGCAACGTGTTTGCCAGCCGATCGGCGAGCACGCACCGGCTTGGCGTCCTTCAGGGTGGGCAGCGTCTCTTGCGCTGGCGCCGCAGTGGGCTCTGCCTCCTTGAACTCCGCCGCGACGCGCAGCGGGCGCCGCCGCCTGGATGACGCGGGCGCGACGGCGCGAGCTGCTGCAAAAGGCCGCGGGGCGGCGGGGGCCACGCGCCGCTGGCCGGCGGTCATCGAGATGCGCCCGGTGGACAGCATCTGGCGATCGAACGCGAGTCCGGTGAGGATGGTGCAGGGGCGGGCTGCGTGTGAGCTTCCGGGATCGTGCACGGCTGATCCGTGGCAACCCTCACGCTTCCCGGGGATACCAGTGCAGAGTTAAAAGAGCAAAGGAGTTACTATATCACCTTTGAAGGTGCGAGGAGAGCACTTGGGGATCAACTGTCGGTGTTTGGCGGTACAAATTGACGGACGACGTGCCCGTCTGTTCTGTGCTTGACTAGAACACGACAGTAATTAGATTATATATGCACTTGGAATTCGATGAATGATCATGCTTGCAACAAATTGCCGTCAGGCGCTTGCAAAAGGGCAGGTCGATCGAAGTGAGACGGGCAGGGCACGCAGCCGAATGAAAAACGCACATTCGCCTGCTGCAGCCGCCGTCAGACGCACGTGCCAGCGGCTACTATAACTGATCGTGCATCATTCCATAGATATCACCTTCGTAGTGCAGAAGTGACAGCCGTGGGGCCCAAAAGGGCCAGCAGATGACGGCACTGGCACTTCACACATGTACTGTATGACATCGCTATGGGATCGATGCCGATGCTTGACCTTGTGAAATGTGTTGACATGACACGGGGCATTCGTCCTGTACATGGGCCAACCATGGCTGGCCGAGGGCGCAGGTGCTCGGCTGATGAAGGCACCCGGCCCACCACGTCGCGGCGACTGGCCCACGGCAGAGGCGGGTTGCTTAGATGGCTCCTCGGATGGCATGTGATACTGCTGTTTGTTCAAAGTTTGGTTCAAAGACGTTTGGGGTGGGAGTGTAGCGGCGTGAAATCGCCCAGCGCAGGCCTGCTGGCTGGACGATGCGGGCTGCGCCGCGAGGCTCGGTGCCCCGCACTGGGTTCCCTGCACATGAGGAAAGCGCCCAGGAGAGTAAGGGCTTTTGCAGCTGCATATGTTTGTCACCGACATGCTCTCATGGGCATTCGAGCAGGGTGAGGCAGTGCGCAAAGCACGGCAGCTCACCCGGCGATGAACGGTACCCAGCTGGCTTCGTCGTGAGCTGGCGCAGCAGGGCTCAGGCAAGAAAAAGGGATCAGGTGCAGTGGTGATGCTACGACACAAGCCTCTTGCGCTCGCAAAAACATCTGCCAGCTGCACAGCACTTACGATCTGTGCACGTGCGTGCACGTTTTGTTCGACGTTCCCGTGCGATCGCAAATTCGATCAACAAAGCACGCTGACCCTTCCTTGGCGCACCTGAGCGCATGGTCCCCCATGCTGCCGGCCTGCCGCACGCAAGCAGCTCGAGACCAGCTGCTGTCGGTTGCTGGGCAGCTGCCTCCGCCCCAGGTGCCCAAATTCACAGCGGTTCAGGGCGCGCTCGCTCAGCCCTACGTCCGCTATCCGTAGGATTCGCATCTCGTTCCATGTGTGCTGCCACAAACGTATGGAGAGCCGTGCGTTGCGAGCGATCTGCAAGAAGCTCACGATGTCACGCAGCTGATGTAGATCATTGGGAATTGTATATATTTGTTCGCACTCCATGGTCATCTTGATTCCGTGGCCAGCAGCATCGATTGAGTCGGATTGAAAAATGTCAGTGGTGTCTGTTCCTAGCAAATAGCACAGGAGCACGCCACGGCTTTTGTTCAGGAAGTTCAGGACGCCTAGGGTGGCCAACCTGCCAGCATGGGGTCTGGGTACTCGACCGCGACAGTGATAGGTGTCCAGCAGCAGCAGCTGCTGCAGCGCTTGGCCGGGGCGGAGCCGATCCCGCACGCGGCACCATTCTGGGACCAGCTTTTCAGCCTGCCGACACCCCTCGCGTCCCTGGACCCGGCGGATGTGGAGATTACGCTGGCGCCACACTGCAGGCAGCTGCGTGAGTGGCGCGTTCGATTTTTCGGAAGCTGAAGACTGGCGGGGTGGTCATGCTGCTGTGCCAACCTCCCCAGCACTTGAAACTTGTGTGGGCAAGCTGCAGCCATTGCACAGATGCTGTTGCCCATCCCGCGTTAACATATTGCGATTGTGTTCCCTCGTGGCCAGGTGCTTTCACCTGGCCACGAGGGTTTAGGGCCTGACCCGCGTGCGACCAGCACCGCACCGCTGTGTAGCCGGTCCGGGGGCTGCCGAGCAGGCCGCCGTCGACCGCACACGCGGCGTGCCCGCGCGCCCGCTTTCCCCCTCCCTCGCAGTCGCGCACAACCCGTTGACGCGCAACTTCCAGTCGCTGGTGCTGCACGTGTGCGGGCTGCTGGAGGCGGCGCGCGGCGGAGCGCCGTCGCTCGCGGCCGCAAACGCGCTGCACCTGGCGGGCGTGATGCTGAAGCTGATATCAGAAATGGCGGCGCCCAGCACCTTGGTGGCCGTCTTCGACTCCGGGCCGGACCCGCCGGCGGCTGCAAAGGGTGCGCGGGCCGCTTGTGTCTGAGAAGGCGTTGCGCCGCGCGAGCAGCGGCGCGCCGGGCGGAGCACAGGCGGAACGAGGGATCCGGGCCGCGCGGTGGCGGCCGCGGACAAGCCACCGGCGCGTGCCAGCGGCTGCTTGCCAAGTGAGCAGCCACTATGCAGCCGCTCATCGCGCGTCTTGCGTGCCTGCAAGGTGCGTCCCGCATGGCTCGACCCTTTTGGGCTGGCTGCGTATCGTCCCCCTCCCCTCCGCCGTTCTTTCGCGCAGGCCAGCGGTCCCTCATGCCCATGTTCATCGGACAGGTCATGCAGCTGGTGGCCACCTGCCAGCCCAGGTGGGCGAAACCTAGACTGGGATTGCGCCGCGCCAAGGCCGCTCGCGGCGGGCCAAGAAGTACAGCTGAGGCGCGTCGCAGGTGCTGCACCCGCGCGTTCTTTTTGCCCTGGCCTGCTTCGAGCCAGGCAGCTTATGACCCCGCGCGGCCCCCGCTCCCCCCTCGTCGCGCCGTCCGCGTGTGAATCATCAGCGCTGACGAGGCGTCGTACTTGCTGCTGCTGGAGGGCCTCAAGCTCCTAGTCATCTGCTGCTCCACCCAGCTGTACAGCGCCGCCACGTCAGCGCCCCCCGGCGCCCACCCCCTGGCGGAGGCGATTATGGCCCACCCTGCAGCCGCCCCAGCCCTCGTGTCGGCGCTGCTCGCGCTCGCCGCCGCCCGCGTGCCGCCGCCGCCGCGGCTGGGCCTGCACCGGCGGCCGGACGCGGCGGGGGGTTATGCGGTCGTGCGCCTGGTGCGGTCGGCGGCGGCGACAGTCTTTTGGATCCCGCTGCGGACGTACCAGCTGCTGACAGCTCGCCCCGCGCCCGGCGGCGCCGCCGGCGCGGCGGCGGCCGCGGCGGCGGCTGCTGCTGCCGCGGCCGCGGCAGGGCCTGGCGG